GGCTTGGGACAAGACAGGTCTCCAGAAGGCTCCATTATGGTTGAGGTGAATTTTGGTAGACTGGCCCAAAATATTAACCATAATTTGCAAAATCATTTGTATGGGAAAACCATTTCCAAGTTCCAAGAGATTCCTGCCAAATAAACTTTTTAGGAACATTTTTTCCAGAATCAGTCTCACTGCTGACATTTTTATCTTTGGTATTGTTCCTCCCAAGCTCTTTCTGAATCCTTTCAGTACTGACCATAACCCCCACCCCACCCCACCCCGCCTTACCCTCAGCTCCCACAGCCTGTGTCGTCTGTTACACCCATTGCCTGCACACTGAGTTCTTTTCCCTCCTGACTGTATTTCATATCCCCAATTAGACATGAAAGTTCTTTGGGCAGGAATGATATCTGACACATATTTGTGTTTACCATGATTGTAGAAGACTAATGTGTTATAGAGACTCCATCAGTATTTGTTAAATCTTTCTTTGCATGGAGGAATAATTGATGCTGAAAAACATACCCACTTCATCTTCTTCTATAAGGTCAGGGGTATCCTCCTTGTCCCTTCTTTCCTTTATTCTTACCTCTCCAAAAGGATTGCAGGGGCTGCTTGTGAAGTTAAGTGAGCCAGGTCCCTCTTCCCCTTGAGTGGCCCTCGGCATGGACTTGATCTCTTCGGCAAAATACTAATTGGCACCTTGGGGAGCAGTTTTTACCTGGGCATGCACAAAGATCTCGTGGTCATTTATTCTTGTTTGTTGTTTCGGTAATACATGTAAACTTCATATTTACTCATTACTGTCTTTTATGTGACTTTTCTTTTTAAAAAAGTATTTGAGTTTTTTACCAAATTTAAAAATGGTATATAGCACCTTTGTGCAGCCATTTATAATTTAGCTGAATTCCCTGTGTTCATTATAAAAAATAAGTATTACCCAATTTTTGTGAATCTTTAAGACTCTAAGCACTTGTTAGTATAATAACTCTGAACCGTTTTTGTACAACTGAAAATCTGTGTGCTATCACTAACCTCTCTTTCCCCCTAATAAGAACTCTGACCCTTTAAATAAGATGAATTGAGTATGGAGTGGTTATTAATTAAATCCAGTAATTTAGCACTTGTATCCATAGATAGTAGTTGAAGGGGCCTGAGTGGGTAGACAAGAGAAGAGTGCTTTCTGAGCCTGTTTCTTCTACTGTAAAATGGACTGGATGATCTTTAGGGAAGTCTTTGATAAACTGGATAATGCCACAGAAGGAGGCTCTCCAGGCGGTGGTGGCCATGCCATGGTTCTCCCATTCACTCTGTTTATGTACACAGTACCACATTTACCCTGGCACTGTCAGGTTTCATGCCCCAGGGGGGGAAACCATGAGGAGTATGAAATTTGGCTTGCTTGAGGGCTTCCCTTCAGACAGTTGCTCTTCCTTTTTTGACCACAGAGGGGAGTATTGGGATTATTTAAAGACATTTAAAGTTGCCTCACAAAAGAGACAAAAAAACTTAAGTGTTTTAAATATTAAGTATTGTCTGAGTCTTTCAGGACTGATTTTCCTAGATGAAATTTCTTTTGCAATACATGTTTCCAGAAAAGACAAAAGGGAAACCCAAACTTCTTTTATTGATTTTATATAGGTTCCTTTGTTGTGCAACCTAAAAATAGAAGGAAAAACACCTGCCCAAGTTAGTGGAAAGTTAATTTTTGAGATGTATGGCAGTATAATTTTACCTTGTAATACCACAGTGAGGAAAGATACGAAACAGTTTTCTTTGATCTAAAGAGAATTTGCAATGATAAATAAATGATTTGCTCATTTATTTCTATTTCATGAAAAGCAAATTTTAAAAAATATTTTAATTTGGATTAACATTTTAAATGTCATAATTTATTGTTTCTGAATATTTAATGTATGCATATATAATATTTTATAACATGCATTTGTAAAAAAATCCTGCCTCATTTTGTAGCAAAGATAATTTAATCTGTATAAACAACAGAGTTAAACTATAGTGACAGAATAAAATTATAGATTTGACCTCTCAGAGGTATATATAACATCTCTCTTGTACATAAAATCTAGTGGTTTTCAAAAATTCTCTGTACTAACATGGTTTTAAGTTTAATTTAAACATTTTCCTGGTTTCTTTTCATGTTTATAGCTAATACTACAGATGCTTTTATTCATTTTCAAAGAAGTTTGTATTGTTTGATTCGTGTTTTTTGTTTTGTCTTTTTAAGGTTGCGTTCTGGACACTTGCATTTGTCCTCTCTCATCCCAGTATCCACAAGACCGTTATGGAAGGCGTATCTTCTGTGTTTGGCACAGCAGGTACTAAACCTGAATTCACTTACATAGTTGAAGAGATATCTAATAATGTGTGCTTGTCACGTGTAATAGGCAAAGCTAACTGCCCAGAAACTTACAGAAATTAAACAGAATCCAAAATTGAACACAAGTTGTTGTGTGTTTCAGGGTATAAAATGATCGGGTACATTCCTAGAATTAAATTACTGTCTGGGATTTCAGAGGTTGTCTATATATATTCTTCAGATCACTTGCCCCTCAATTACTTTTGGAACTCAAGATTTTCTAGATTTTGTAAAAAGTAATATGGTGTATATATGACATAACACAGATGTCAGGTAAGGTTTTGTCATTAAAGCAATTGTTTTAAAAGTTAGAGATTTGAGGGATTAGAACTGTAGATGGGGATTGCTACCTTGCATTTTTTTTAGTTCAAATTTGTACTCTTCAGTTGTCATCTGTTTTAAAAAGCAAAGATAGGGATGCCAGGGTCGCTCAGTGGTTGAGCATCTACCTTTGGCTGAGGTCGTGATCCTGGGGTCCTGGGATCAAGTCCCACATCAGGCTCCCTGCAGGGAGCCTGCTTCTCCCTCTGCCTGTGTCTCTGCCTCTCTCTCTGTGTGTCTCTCATGAATAAATAAATAACTTTTTAAAAATATATGAAAAGCAGAAATAGGCTTGAATGCAGAGAGCACTCAACTACTTATTTATTTAGCATGACTTGACCTGTTTGGAAGTAGCAGCTTTGAAAAACCTAAATATGTCAAATTGTGTATTCTGATATAAAAAGAATAATAAATGACTTGGAAGAAAACAATATACTGGTAGGACAAAAGATATGATGCCAATTAACAGCTCCCCCCACCGCATCATGATTGCTGAGAATATTTTATTTGAAAGTTTTTCCTTACTTTCTACTGCTTCTTATTGAATTAAACCAAAAAGCAAATTGGCTTGATCAACATGACTATCTAAACCATACGGTCTCTGAGCCTTGAATCTTATCTCATAGAAATGGTGAGGATTGGAATCACTGAGTATCAACAATGCTGATGAGTTAGATTCTGGTGATACATTAGTGAAGTAAAGAGAAAACTACTTACCTTCATGGAACTTAACTTCTACAAAGCTAATAGAAATGTGCATGCCTGCATGTCTACAAATGATAAAAGGGAATACATCCTTGATTGTTACATATCTGACTTTACCATTTCTTTTTTAGAGTCTTCTCCTCATTTAGGGTTCTCCAAAGTCCTGGTCTTTAGGAAATCAAAAAGTAGTTATGGGATCACGGAGATAATGCAGGCAGCCTGTCTAACCCAAAGGTTACAACAGAAGTGCTACATTCATCTGAATGTCTTTAATACTTGAATCTTAAACTCTTGAACATAGTTCAATGGAAAAAGATGAAACCTTTATTCTTTTTCTACAGTCTAGTTTATTTTTAGAACCCACTGTTCTCCCCTGACAGACAAATGCTCCTTCAAATAGCAATACCAGTGCAAAAAGTCCATACGTATAAATGCTTTCAGTTTATGACTCTTGCAGACTTGAAAACAATTTACATAAAGTATCATGTTTTTTGCTGTGATTATACGGAAGCAATTTAGATCAATTCATGTTTAAGATGTAGCTCAAGAATTTAGATGTGAGAGGAGGCTACTCACTCTTTGGAGGTAGATATCAAAGGAGATATCCATATGCCCATACAAAGGACCTTGTCAAAGAAAGTACATTAGAGTGCATGGAACAAGAACCTGACTCAATATGGCGATTCTCCCATTCTTAATGCTTTATAAGATCACCTTTTCTTTCTAGGATATGTGTTTAGTGACCTAGACACTTTGCCACATCTCTGTGGCCTCAACAGTCACCACTAGTCTGTCCCAGGCATGTTGCTCAACTTTCTTATAAAATAAGGCTAAGGGTAAAAGCTGCATTGAATAATTGGTCCTTTGTGTCTGGCTTCTTTCACTTAGCATAATGTTTTATTTTGTATCATGATGTTTTACATTAATTGATTTTCACACATTGAACTGCCCTTGCATTCCTGAGATAAATGCTATGCAGTCATATGATATAATACGTACAATTTTTATGGATATAAAATATCTATATTATATATGTATTTATAGCCATAAAACACATATAATTTTTATGTTCTTGGATTCAGTTTATTAGTATTTTACTAAGGAAATTTAGGAATTTTTACATCTATATTAATTAGGGATATCAATCTTAAGTTTTCTTGTTTGGGTTTGGAATCAGGATAATTCTGACTTTATAGAATGACTTCAGTAGTATTCACTTATATTTCTTGGAGGAGTTTGCAAAGGATTGATGATGTTAATCATTCCTTAATCATATGATAGATTCACCAGTGAAGTGATCTGGTGAAGACATTTTCTTTGAGAGCAGTTTTTGATTAATTAAATCACTCTACTTGTTACAGGTCTATATTTCCTTTTTTTAATTGAAATATAACTGACATTGTATTAGTTTTAGATGTACAATATAATGATTTAATATATACATATGTTATAAAATTATCACCACAGTAAATTTAGTTAACATCTATTATCACACATTTATGATTTTTTTTCTTTTGATGCAAACCTTTAAGATCTATTTTCTTGTCAACTTTCATATGCATAATACAGTGTTGTTAACTGGTCACCAAAGCTTTACATTACATCCTCAGAAAAATAGGGGCACTGAATGAATTTGCGTGTCTTCCTTACTCAGGGACTATGTTAATCTTCTCTTTATTGTTCCAAATTTACTCTGTGTGCAGCCAAAGTGAGAATTGTCTACTTTTTCTTGGGTCAGTTTTGTAGTTTGTGTCTTTTTTAAGTAATTTGTCCATCTCACCTAGGTTATTTAACTTGTTATATATAACTGTTCATATTGGGATCCCTGGGTGGCACAGCAGTTTGGCGCCTGCCTTTGGCCCAGGGCGCGATCCTGGAGACCCCGGATCAAATCCCACGTTAGGCTCCTGGGTGCATGGAGCCTGCTTCTCCCTCTGGCTGTGTCTCTGCCTCTCTCTCTCTCTGTGTGTGTGACTATCATGAATAAAAAAATAAAAAAATAAATAACTGTTCATATTATTGACCACAATCTTTTTTTTTATTTCTGTAAAATCACTAGAAAAGTATCTCCTTAGTCATGATATTAATAATTGTGTAATCTCTCATTTTTCATGATCAGTATAGCTAAAGGATCGTCAGTTTTGTTTTCAAATCTTTGTTTTCAAAGATTTTATTTTTTTGTATCACTTTCCTATTTACTATTTCATTTTTTTCTGTCCTCATCTTTATTTATAATTTATATCTTTTAACCAATACTTTTTATTTTGTTCTTTAAACATAATTTTTCTTAAAGTCTTTAAATGTATTTAAAATATCTTAAAGTCTTTTTTTTTTTTCTCTTTTTTTAGTAAGTCCAACATCTGTTTTTTTTCAGGGAGTTTCTACTGATTGCTTTTTCCCCTGTGTATGGTCTATATTTTCTTGTTCCATGTATTATTGCATATTTCTCATTGCATGTCTTGCATTTTTTTGAAAACTGAATGTTTTAAATAATACAATGTGGCAACTCTGAAATCAGATTCTCCTTCTTTTCCTCAGGATTGCTGTTGCTGCTTGTCACAGCTCTTGTTTGTATGTTTATTGACTTTCATTAACTAATTCTATACATTTTATATTATCATGTGTGGCCACATATGTTTCTGCTTGGTTAGTTTAGTATTCAGCTAATAGTTGAAGAAAGGTTTCTTTATACTAAGAACCAATAAGACTCTTATATTTGCATATTTTGGATTTTGTTTGTGTATTGGAGCATGCCTTCAAAACTTAACTAGGCAGTTGGCAGTGCTGCCTTAACTTTGATTTCCTACTTGTACGGAACCTCAAGGTCAGCCGTAGGTCAGACCTTAGAGCCTTTTTAGGTCTTTCCTGAGTCTGAATGAGGCCCTGGGTGTTTGTGCAGTGCTACACAAGTGCACTCATTTCTATATTCCCAGGAATACATTGGACCTTTTCAAAGCCCCTAGGACATCTCATTCCCTGGCTATTCAATTTTAATCTTTTGGTTTTTCTGTTGTTTGTCCAAACTGTTATCTATTGCCTTGGGTAGCTGGAAAGTTAATTAACTTTAAGGGTTTCCAGCCACTATCCATGGGGAAAAGACTTTTTCCACTGTATGAATTCCAAGTCAGGTCAGATAAAGATAGTCTTATAAGTGGGACCTTCCAGGGAACTGCCAGACAGGTCACATAATGAGAATTCCCTAGGAATGATGTTTTGAAGAGTTCCAGTCTTATTCTATCCCCTCTGCCAGTTGCTGGGCTGCTTATTTGCACTGTGGTTAGAGGCTATGGTTTTTCAAGGCTACCATGGACCTATGGAGAGAGGGATGGGAATAGAGCAAGTTAATTATTAAGCTTGCTCTTCTTACCAAGATTTAGTCCTTTTTCTTGGATAAACATTCCCTGGGTTGCTGCAAGCCTTTGGTTAATTCCCAAAGTTCTGAAAAAGTTGATTTTGACAATTTTGATCAGATTTTCATTGATTTTAAAGAGAGAATTTTGGGAGTCCTTAACTCTGCCATTTTTGCTGACATTACCCTGAACCATAAGTTTTAAAATTTCTCTTTAGGAAACTTTCCAGATTAATTGTTAACCCTTCATTCATCTGTTTATTTAGTTGGCCCTCAAATATCTTTTTGAGTGCCCATTATGTCAAGGCATTGTGTGAACTATCAGGGTAATGAAGATGATCCAGATGTTGTTCATGGTCTCAAGGAAGTTCATGAATGAAGTGCATAAATGAAAACAGATTTGGAAGTATCAGAAGACGTTAGGAGAGAGAAAGGAACATTTAAATAGCTTCTTTGGAGATGTGCACCTGCTGATGAATTCTGCAGGTTTTCTGTGCTTGGAACCCTTTTCCTTGTTTTTGTTCATTTTTTAGTCAGCTTGAATGTCATTTTTGAATATAGATCTTTTAGGCTTGCTCTGTCTGAAGTCACATTCCCTAACTCTGCTTTTAAAGATTCTCTGACTCTCCTCACTATTTCCTTCATAAGGATTATTTTATTAGTCTATCTATCTATCTATCTATCATCTATCTATCATCTGTCCATCTTCTGCTTTCTTCATCAGAACAGTCTCTCCAACAGCAGGAGCAATGCTTGTCTAGGTCTCTATAGGATCCCCAGCTTCCTAGAACCCAAATTACTCAACAATTATATTCTGAATAAATTTAATGAACAAATATAAGAAGATATTAGATGAATGTCTTAGTTTAGTTTTCATTTGCAGCTTTATCACCCATCTCTCTGGACAGTTGATATGAAATGAGTATTTTATGTAAAGAAATTTTGCTCAGTTTCTGCCCCTAAGTTTTGAGTTAACAAAACCCTAGTGTTAGCCAGCATCTGATTGTGCTTTGAGACTCTCAGCAGTCTCAAGTCTAGGATTCCACAAAAACGGTAACGAATGCTAACATGTCTCATGTCTCTTGGGTTCTGAACTCTATAAAACATCTTCTTGATTATGATTTTATTTTATCTGTTGATCTTGGGTGAAATATACATTATCAAATTACTGAGGATCTGATGAAGAATATTTTGCTTTGCTACAGAGTTTTTGGGCATAATTCCTGGAAATTGGTCATTCTGTTTTAAATTTTGATTTGCAGATACTACACATTATTTCAGTTGCCTGTCATAACCTCAAAAATATAGTACAAATATGGAGGTCAGAATGCCTGGATTCAAATCTAGTCTGTGATACTTACAACTGGTTAATTCCTTATTCAAGTTACCAAATTCTTTGAGCCTTTTTCCTCTTTGGGCAAATGACAAAATAAGAATGCCCATCTCATGGAGTCACTAAGGAGAATATGGCAAATGTAAAATACCACAATGTCTGTCAAACTGTAATTGTTTTATGAATCTTAGCATGACCAACACTGATAGAACCATATTGGTTATATGAAATTTTATAATCTTGCCATATCATGAAATAGTGACTATTATGACTTTGAGTTTTTCTACTTCTAAATATTAATCAGCGTAGCTTTTTAAAATATCATAGTTTTCGGGCAGCCCCGGTGGTACAGTGGTTTAACGCCAGCTGCACCTTGGGGTGTGATCCTGGGGACCTGGGATCGAGTCCCATGTCGGGCTCCCTGCATGGAGCCTGCTTCTCCCTCTGCCTGTGTCTCTGCCTCTCTCTGTATCTCTCTGTTTCTCATGAATAAATAAATAAAATCTTTAAAAAAATTTTTTTAAAAAAATATCATAGTTTTCGGGGCATTTGAGTGGCTCCATTGGTTAAGTGTCCTACTCTTGATTTTGGCTCAGGTCATGATCTGAGGGTCTTGAGATTGAGCCTCCCTGCCCGGCCTCAGTGCTCAGTGGACAGTCTGGCTGAGATTCTGTCTTTCTCTTTCCCCCTGCCCCTCCCCACTCTTGTGCACATGCATGTGCGCTCTCTCTCTGTGTCTCTAAATTTTTTTAAAAAAATTTAAATATCATAGTTTTCTTGAATGTTTACAGGAATGATTGAATTATTTTATATCAGCTGGCCATCCCTTTAAAGGGACTGAATGCAGCAGAAATATAGCATGGAAGTATTTCTAACATCATCCGAAGGGGTAGAAATAATAGCAACAATAATAGCTAACACTTAGATAGCACTTAAAAGTACCAGGCCCTGTTCCAAGTGCTCTTCTTATTGACTCACTTAATCCTTGAATCATCCCTCCTAAATGTTATTATTTATCCCCATTTTAAACATGAGGTAAGTGATGTACCAATTAGGTAACCAACCAAGACCACACAACTAGTAAGTGATAGAACTACAATTTGAACCAGTATTGGTTTGGCTCAGGATTTGATAATACAAATTACCAAATCTTATTTCAAAATTATACTCTGAATGCCTGAATTAACATGCTGAGGTCCAGTTTCCAGCTTAATTCCATTCCAAGTCACTAACATATTAATCTTCCTAAAGCTCACTGCTAATTATATTACATGTGTACTCAGAAAATATTCTTGGAGTAATGTTCATACCCCTGAGCCTGAAACCATAGCCTGATTATTTGATCCATCTTTGCAAGCAGTGTAATAATCTAAACAAGGTGGCCCCTTGAATACCCTCTAAAACATTCTTCATTTTCTTTCTGTTATGCTCTTTAGTGTAAATGTACCACTAAATGTGATTCAGTTTTGATGCCTTTAGAGGACGTCACACACAAGTAAACTTGTAGATTAGAAAAAGTATTTTCTAAACTATGTACTTCATTCTTGAGTCAAAAATTATAAGTATCATGTTCATAACCAAGCTGATTTCTAAAACAAATATAACTGTCAGGACAGTGTAATTTTCCCCACCCCAAAAATGGTGGCTGATAATAAATACCATAAAAGATAGCTGGTTTGCGGTTCATGTGTAGAATCATCCTTCCTTTTTGTGTACCTATGCCTTCTTCTGACCAAGGACACCTGAACATGTGGATCTCTAATTAATGACCTCTGAGGTTCTCTTCCATTAATCATCAGTCCTTTGGCAGGTTTAACTTCTCCACTGGCTTTTTCCCCTTGATCTATCGCGTTCAGGTATTCTGTACTCAGTATCATCCAGTGGCTTTACATTTCACTCAGAATAAAATCTAGAGTCTTCATGTGACCTTGGAGGCTTTTTGTCGTCTCACCATCTCATCTGGGTGTGGACCCTGCCTCCTCTTTATTTCACCTAAGCCATATCCATTCATTCATCAAATAAATATATTTTT